ATACTATCGAATACGTCAACGGCCTCGTTTTCATTCCGTACAAGCATGGTAACAAAGACGAAATTACGACATCTGATGAGTAATGGCCAGCGGCCTTGAGAATTTGGTGGACGACGTTCCACAGTATGAATTATTGGGTAAGGGAGCTAGAGAGAGAGAGAGAGAAAACATAGAAAGGTTTCATGGTATTCGATTTTAGAATGCCGAATCAAGGTATGTTAAAAAGAATAGTTCGTTTTGGAATAAATAATGAGTAGATCGGAAGAAAATAATAAAAAGGCTTACCGTCTATTTGAGTAAATGTGAGTAGATGCGCATGTTTAATATTTGATTTTGATATTTGATAGTATGAGTTTCCCCAAATAAAAGTGAGCATTAGTTTGGAGCGAGTTAATATCATTAAAGTGAATCATGCAAAAAAAATAATTATGAAAATGGATGGTTTGAATAAACGATAAAGATTGTTATAATATTTATTACAAAATTATATTATCGATTGGACATACCCATAGTTCTTCGTTGGGGGAATTAAAGAACAACTGGTGAGTAGTCAAATGGAGGGTTCCAACAGTAGTTGTCTGACCCTTCTCCATATAAACTTCCTCAACCTATATGTAGCAAATATCCAATATATTCCATCAATGTCATAACGTACACGCTTTTCCTATCTTTTACACAATTACTCACATAACATTCGCATAATTACTCCCAATTCATGCTTTTTACTACATAGTTGCTTTGTCTAAATGTCCGCTCTTTTACCCCTCTTCTCAACATCTACGAATTCCCCTTTGCATTCTCTCCAACCTTAGCTATTTTTATGACGTCCATATTCTCAGCACAGTCTGGCTTGTGCACAGGTAGCTTGCGGTAAAGACCTGTTTTGGAATTTTGTTCTGGGCGCTGTTCTTTTCGAGTGTTCGTTTCAACCTTACACAAAACGAGTGGGAATGGGCAAAACTATGCCCATTTTCACGTGATTGATTTTGGTCCTTTTGAATGTAAAAGAGTCTACTAATGACGTAATCTAGAAAACACTCGAGTGGCGAATGTGGAGCATTTAAGCATTAACGATAAAGTTACGCATTCATTACCACACGCGTCTTTGTGGGCTGGGTGGCAAGAAGGGAAGATACTTTGTTCCCTTTTCAAGTAGTATCTCTCAATGCGTTTGCGTAAAAACATTGAAGGTTGTTAGTGCATTACAAACACGTACGGTGCATGCAAGACATACAACAACGTATTGAGACTGAAAAAGATTGTTCCAAACATGACTATTCCACTGTTTAGAGAATTGGTAATGCAATAGTAATACAATATTTGGCTGTTTATATAGAGAGGACTTGTGCATTCTCATTGACACCATTTAACGTCCCAGCGATTATATTGCTCCATTTGTACAATACTGTGATTTGATTGGGCAAATATGCGAGCCTAACCATATCAATACCTGTTTATTGAAAGATTACATACATAATTGAATGAGCAAGACGTAATGAGAGCGCTGCTGCACTGCCCGGCTGTGGAAGTTTTTTTTTCCATTGTCTTGAGACTATGACTTTTATTCCGACAATAACCCGATTTATAAACAATTTCTTTGTGATGTCGATAATCTAATTGATTATCGTCATTGATATGAAACTTATTATTAATTAACGTTAATTATTATTAATATTGTTGGATTACAATATTAAAATAACCATGAATACATTGTAATCGAAAACGTGTTTCCATGGATGCTTTGTCTGTTAATTCCTATTACGTCTATGAATGTGTATTTCAAAAGTTATTGTATCTGGCCCAATAAGTCGACGCATACATATTTCTTCATATATCTATCAAACACACAATTGCGATTGTGATTGTGTTCCGCAGTCACGCATTATCCAGAATACTACCGTTTATTGCATTGTCAGTTTCGTTAGCAATTGGGGTAAAAAAAAAGTTTTTTGAACAAACAAACACAATATTGAAAGACAGACTGTAGGAACGTTTGTAATGACGATAATACTATAATAATGACTATAAATAATGATCATGATGACGCCAACAATAACAACAATACTGACACATTTTCTGGCTTTCAATTAATCGCTTAATTAATCAATTCAATGGATCAAAACGCAGCCCCAATTTTTCCATCCCTGTCACATTTCATCCAATTATCATCCAGACTCACCTCCCACACTTAATATTTGCCCAATCATTGATCCCTTTCTCCGCCAAAGTTACACAACCGACCCTGGGATGCCGACCCGAACACATAAATTGACCCTACCCTCATTTGTTCTTCCAAAGTCTACAGACATCAGAACATCGAACACAGACAAACTCCATCTGTCAAGCTCAAGCCATCCGTCCTAGCCCTTTAGTGGACCTATCGATATCAAAGGGAGCCTTCAGTCCGTCTAGTCCTAATAGGCATCCATACGCTACTTATTCATAGAACCCCCCTTCCCAAGTCACATACTGCTTAGAAGGATCGCTTAACGACCACATTGTTTATTGCTCATCTACACTGAATTTGATATACCTCCCAGCACACACGGTTGCCTAACTTTCTGTATTCCTTATTGACTCGTAATGGCCGCCGAAGAAACTGCCGTGACTACCGAGACCGCCACAACCACCGTAGTTGTTGAAGCTGCTGCGACCGAAGTCACGACTACTGCAGTAGTTCAAGAGACTGAAACTGTTCAGGAGACTGCGGTTACTGATAGCGAGCCCGTAAAACTCGAAGAAGAAAATGAGAACAAGGTCTTTGTCGGTAATTTATCATTCCAGACTACTGAACCTGAATTGGCCGAGTTTTTCGGAAAGTTTGGTAAAGTGTAAGTAACGGGGGAAAAAAAAAAGATTTTAAAATATGTGAACGAAAGGATGATGCGATAATTTAGTGCTTTGTAATGATACACACCTCGTATTCGTCTGGAGATAGTATTAGTCAAATAGATCAGACCTATTACAAGAGAATGACGATTCCACAAACATTTCTTTACATATTATTCGGATCATTTGTCGTTTTGCAATCCTTATTCTCACCTTTTATTCATTTTTATGCTTCAATGTCTATTCGAAACCATTGTCTCATACTTGCTTGCCTTTTTTTGTTTCAAATAGCGTCAAAGCCAACATCATTACTCGTGGTACCCGCTCACTTGGTTATGGCTTTGTAGCCCTGGAAACAAAAGAAGATGCCGAAAAAGTCATCGCCGAACTCAATCGCGAAGAACTAGGAGGCCGTTCGATCAATGTCGAAGCTGCTAAACCGAAAACAGATACTGGAAATCCCCCCGCTTTCCATTCGTCTCGTCGTGGCCGTGGGAGGTATCACTTACGCGGTCGGGGTGGTAGAGGACGTGGACGAGGAAGTCGGGGACGTGGCAGAGGACGTGGTGGCTGGCAAGGCCGCCGTCGTTTCTCAGGTCGCAACGAAGACTCTGCTGCCGTTCCCAGTAATGATACTGCTGCCGACGCTCCTAATACTAACGGCGCGCACGCTGATGAAAGCGGCACCCATAAGAGCAACCGTGGGTATCGTTCCCGACGACCTCGTGGAAGAGGAGGACGTGGTCGTGGCCGTTTTAGTCGTCGTAGACCAGCCAATTCTAACTATGCAGCTGGAGCTGCTAAAACTGGTGATCCGTCCAAAACTATCGTTTTCGTTGCCAACTTGCCGTTCTCTGTTAATGACGATGGATTGAAAGAAATCTTCAAAGACTACCAGGTAAAGAGTGCCCATGTTGTTCGCCGTCGTGGGGGACGTAGTAAAGGTTTCGGATTTGTTGAACTGATTGATGAGAATGAACAAACGAGAGCCCTTGAAGGGTTGAAGAATGTTCAAAGTGAGGGTAGAGAACTGGTTATCAAAGTTGCTTTGAGCGATCAGCAAGCTCACATGGACGAAGAAAAAGCTGGTGGCCAAGAGGGGGGTGAGGTTAGCGCCTCAGCCGCTAATCCTCCCGCCAACGAAGAACCCAACAATGAGGAAAGTGTTACGGCTTAATGTTATCAACGATATTAAATTGAAAAGCAAAATGCTGTTTATTCGGAATATATAGGATTTTATGCATTACGATAGGAATTCATTATCAAAGAGATTAAATTAGTTCTGCTATCTATTCATATGCTTCTTGCCCCCCACCGTTAAATATAATATTATCTTATTTTTTATTCCTTTGTTTTCAAATAGTCCCAGCTTTATTATATATTTAAAACAAATTGGTTGGGGGGTAGTGATCGATGAAGCTAAACTATATATATTAGTATATTGTGGGTCCAATAGCTCTTTTTCAGCGGATATTAATTGTTATATACCAAAATAAAGATGGAGACCCTATTTAACTTATAAAAGAGAATAGACAAGAATGGCTTAGAATGAATAATGTTTATCAATAAAACTATAGACATCAATCCTCTGTCGTTGTTCAAATCCACTTTGGTCTATTGACAGGTAAACGAACTAAATCGGTATCGAACAATTCAATAAATTGTTCATTTAACAGTCGGACTTTGGGTCCGGCGTAACGACGATACTCTTCAAATATCGAAGTTAGATTCCATCGTTGCAATTTGCGTAAACAGCCAACAATCGTTCCTGTAAAGAAAAAGTGGTTAAAACTAGAGAATCAAGAATACACGTCCTGTGAAAAATGTAATGTATAAATAGCGTAGGATAAAACCTGTTCTATGTCTACCAAGATTGCACATTACGATCATTGGATGATTGCGGGGATCTAAAATCAACTCTAGCGCTTCCAAGACGACTTCCTCTGTGACCGGATCCCAGGCATTCACTGAAGAAATAACGCCGAGATATTGAGCTTGAATCTCTTGGTCGTAAATAAAATTCAGACTAAGACATTTTCATGTCAGTTACAATCTCTTCTATGACAGACATTATATCATGGTTTTTACCGCACATTCTTTTTCTCCTAATCGCAGTCATTCACAGCCGATACTTACAATCTCTCGTTCGGCTCTTCCGGTGCAAGCCATACGACAGTTTTCAGTCCAAGCTTCTCCAAAAAAGGAAAATTCAACTCATTCGGTTGGCCTGACCTGTACAGGTCTTCTTCTATCATACCATAGTTCTAACGTATAACATGTTGATGTCCAGCAAGTGAAACAAATGACGGCTTTTGGAATGGACGTCGGTAAAACTCACCTGAGGAGGAATAAAATGTTGCGAACTCATTCAGGTAAACTGACAAGGTGCAAAAATTGTAAAATTGTAGCATTGCGATCTTGCCGATCTGACTATTTGATGGACAAGTAAGCGTATTAATTCGAAATAGATCCCGCATTTGATGGAATGATGTAACACAATAGACATTGAGAATGTCGTTAGTTCCAGAGGACTTTCACAACCAAGCAATTGACAGCTTGGTTCAATCTTCTTTGGATAATGAAAATAAATACTTGACGCTTGAATGGATATCTTACAAGGAAATTACCAACATAAAGCCAACTCGAATTGACAACGTCCATTACGCTAGTCATTGCAAAGTTGGCAAGGTAATGCTGCTATGTCTTGGAAGCAGCGAAGAATGTACACCAATACGTGTGAGTGAGTTTGCTAGAATATACTCACTTCCAACACACGAATATAACAACGACGCTAATCAGTTCAGAAGATACAGAAAGTGGCTTAACAACCGCAATGAACTCATAAAAGGGTTTACTAGGTGTGACGATAACTACTACATGGTTGCTGGTAATCGCTTCCGCTATTATTATTTTCTTTATGGATTTTGCTCTAAATGTGGAATACTCCGGTGTAGTCCCGTGTGGTGCATATGTAGACATAAAGAAATATGCGATGGATGGACCAGCAACAATAAGCAACTTGATGAGTTTATTAGGAAATCTCAATTACAAACAAATTCAGCAAATGAACACTATGTGGAATGGATTCCATTTAATTGTATTGATGATAGTGGATATTATGGCGTATACTTATGCGGTCCACCTACTTATACACTTGTTGAATTGATTCCACTTGAGATAACAGACGAGACACATGATTTATATTATGTCGAGGTAAATTATTTACTTATGCGTCACGTTCATTGAATAGGTTGAATAACTATTGACCTATTCTTATGTATCATTTCCATCAGTTATGTGATGAGCATCCGGATATTCTCATTACGAATGTTTGGATTACAATTGGGTTCACGTACGATGCAAGCGAACGAAAATATTTTCTTATAAAAGAATATTACGGGCATGGATTATGTCTGGCGTGTACAGCGCAATTAAACCTCAAGATAAATGCATTCTGTTATGCATGTAAAGCACCACGACCTGTTAATTGGACTACGGGCAACAAGTCTCTGGATTCATTTATAATGGAGTCGTGGAAGAATATAGAGAATGAATATGATGCATATATACAATGGATAGACTACTCACTATTGAGAAACATAGAAGAGATGACATTATTACACCATGGGTGTACATATACAGCAGAATATTTAGAACTGAAAACAAATGAATGGATAAAAGTGACACTCAAAAAGATAGTCAATGAACCATTATTTGATTTTCATCAGGTAAATTATTTCACGTGTAAACAATGCAATCGTTAAGGGCGTTTAAACTAACGACTATTATTATTGTCGTAACGACCGTATTGTTTACTAAAATAGCTTACGAAGGAATACCATGAGATATTAACACCCGAGAATATTTGGATAATCGGAATCACCCAGGAGCCGTCTGCTCAAGAATATTATTATTTGGTTTTCTACTATGAACTACGTCAGGTATTGGACAGGTTTATACGAGAGGATGAACGGATGAAGTACATGCAGTATAGCGAGTTTTATGAATTCAAAGAAATCGGATCTGGTGGTTACGGAACGGTCTATACTGCCAAATACAAAGACTTTTCAGAAGTAAAGTATATGGAGGAAATTGTTGTACTCAAACGAATTAGGAATTTTGATGAAGCGCCAGAATTATTTATTTCCGAGGTATGCAATAATTGATAGAATTAATTAAAGTGATATTTAATTTTAATGCTGCATTTATTTTATTTATTCATAGTTCAGAAATCATGCCAAGTGTGCACATTATTCATTCCTTAAACTTTATGGAATCACACAAGACCCAAAAACAAAAGAGTACATAATTGTGATGCAATACGCTAACAATGGTAATCTCATGTCTTATTTGGATCAAAATATTAACAAATTGACGTGGACGGATAAAATACGGCGTTTGAGGGAGATTGCAATGTATCTGTCTTACATTCACAATGCAGGTCTAGTGCATTGCGATCTTCATGGCGGAAACATTGTTTTGCGTAATAGCACTTCGTTGATATGCGATTTTGGTCTCTCACGATCGGTGAACTCACACGAGTCAAATTCAAACATTCGAGGCGTTTTGCCCTTTATCGCCCCGGAAGTCTTTCATACCCGCAAATTTACTCAGAAATCAGATGTGTATTCTTTTGGTATAATCATGTATTTGATTGCTACTGGTGAACCGCCGTTTAGAGATTGGTCGTTTGACAAGTGTTTGGCGATGCGCGTTTGCGAGGGACTACGACCATCGTTGCCTGATTCCGCACCAGAGGAATACAAGAAACTTGCTGAGCGGTGTTGTGATGCTGATCCCGATAAGCGTCCAGACGCACAGAGACTTATGAGGGAGTTTTCCGATAAGTTGGACAAGGACAATACTGAGAACAATATATGGGATACTGTCTATCATAATAATGTAAAACCGTTATTACGTCTCGAGAAGGAGAGTAAATATTCTAGTATGCTCTTACCCACAGGAGATTTACCTATCCCGAAAAATAGCTATGATTTGGATTCAGTTGCAGGTATGAAGACAAGTATAAACTATTGGTTATACGATGTCAATTTCACTATATTAACATCGTCCACTGCTTGTAATTTAGTGACTCAACCGATCTTTGAATAAACTTGTACTTTTACAATTTACTCAAGAGTTTACTTCTCTCCCGATTAAATAATTAATATGTCAATATTAAGTTGAGTTAAAATAAAATCGTGCGCGTTTATTGAGTTGAGGTAGATTATTCGAATATGTAAGAAAACATAGTGACAAATACATTACTTAAGTTTATAAAACTTGTATTGAGTTCGTTCTTGAAGAAAAAAGTGTGTAGCTATATTCGAGCGATGAACGGAGCAGCGTTATTGTCAATTCAGCACCGGCCGAATCATGTGTGTTTCCTGATTTTTTAAAATCGCGATGAGGGCAAATTTTTCGTGAAAATATCTGAAATTGATTGATTGTATGCTTTATGCTTAGAGAATTGAGGAATGTATGTTGATAATGGCTGGCGGGACTATACATTAAAAATTAATAGCAGAAATGTAATTTTGAATACTGCTTTAAAATCGGGGCATGCTCAGACAGTGAGTTCAATTAAGACGCCATGATTATTGTTGAGTCAGATGATGTTTTTTGAGTCACTTCTTTCTACCATGTACTTGTTACTTGTATGTACTAAGTACAATATTACAGCACACTTCATATTAATATTATCAATGATACTCTCTGACCTTGCAAGGAAGATGAGAATATGTTAATTATATTCCATATTTTAATTTGAGCAGTTAGTGGATAATTAAGGTTGCAACAAAAAGTTGATATTTAGCCAATTCTAGATGTGAAAGTCATTGTTGAGTACGTGTAATAGAAATTGACTAACAGTGGTGCAATTGCTTCCAAACTTGTATGAAAGAAAGGCCTTCAGCCCGTATAACACAGCAGAACAACATTTGTTACAGCTTAATGTTGTGGTTTGTAATTTTACAAGGCTGCCTATGGCAGATACATAATTTGCATTCCTAAACTGAATGTCTGACCCTTGAGAATTAGGTAATGACTTTTTGTTTGTGTCACAATAAGTATAACGGATTCTAAATCTGTACTCTCCAATCCAGGAATCACCCAACGAGTAAATTATATATTGAAGATGAGCCTCATGTGTCATCAAACCCTGAATTGTGATGCGATTGTATTGTTAGTAATTTAACAAACTGTGATTGTAAGAATATGTGTTCGCTTGGCGAAGTGAGATATGTGGAGATGTTATGGGCCGTTCTTCGTATGTTACGTTTTATAAGGCTACAATGCCCTGTGGAGTATTGGAAAGAACTCGACAACGGCCTACCAAAAGAACAGGAAGTTAAAGTTGAAAGATGGCCAACCACGAATGGTTTGAAGCATGGTTTTGACTTTGCTGACGGGCGTGGAATTATCAGCATTACTTAACATTCGGCAATCACTTCTGCAGTAAAATAAAGAGAGGAGTAGAGAAGTTATGAATAGCTGTAGTAAGATTGTTGGGAGTATCACAGCATAATAATAACGCATCCACGCAAGTAGCTTGTCCGGTGGTATGACTGCAAAAATCACTTTATGAAACTTCGCTGTGGATTCTCAGAATAGATCGGGAACATGACATTCTTAATACGATTCGTTTAGTAATTCATGAAAAAAAAAAAGTTTCAATCCAAGTATGGATATCATATTGTAATTCATTCGATATTCGTCAAGGTCCCAAGGACTAGATAATCTATCCATAAGTTTGTGATGCTCTATTGCTCTGAAATCAGTAAAACTAGAAGTAATCTTGTTCAAAACAAAACTCAAAGATTTAATATTTTCGACGTTTTTAACTGTTGTACCTCAGTTGGGGACCTGTCTCAGTTCTGGACTGAGACAACCGAGTTCTGGACTGAGTGTCTGGGTTCTGAACTGAGGCAACTGAGTTCTGGACTGAGTGACTGGGTTCTGAACTGAGACAGATCCCGAACTCAGACACAACATTTATAAGAATTCGATTCTTGGCGATTTGGTTCACTACAGCCAGATGGGCGAAAATGTTTCCAAGTTTTCTAATTTGTCCGATTATTATCAATCGCAAATTTAGTATGAAAATTTCTCAGCTGATAAATGTTCGCAGCAATTCAATAATCATGATATTAGTGCCTGAATACCGCAAATTAGGCAGCACGATCGAATTTGTAACTGGGTCCAGAAAACAGTTTTAATGCTTACCTTTGGTCGTACCCCACGGGGATTGAAACGAATAATATAAGCTTTATTTATTAAAATACAGAGAACTACTCTAAAAGAACAAGTATAGAAATTAAATTAAAAGACGAGTTGAAATGTCAATTTTGAATGAAAATTATCGCTGTTTAAATAACTATTTAACTAAGTGCTAAAATCGTTATAGAAAGTACAATTTCTTCACTATATACAAATTGCAGTGTCTCAGAGCGTAAAAACACATCACCGCTAATAGTCGACAAAGGCATTAAAATAAAATACTATTTTGTGTTAGTACTGCACGAATAATATAACAGTGATTGACTAACCGTTCAACAGTTTCAGATCACGGAAAAACAACGTTGAGAAGAAAATACAGCAAAATACTGACATGCCAATGAAATCCACGGTTTAAATTTCTCAAGGTATAGTTAATAATTAGTCTTCTTCATGAAAAGCGAATCAACTTTGACGAATTATAACGGCAGTAGAATCTCGTATTGGAAATGGCTATTAAATTAAATAGCTAATAATACTTCAAGCTAATTTAAATTGATTTAAATATACTGCTTTCGTCATCACCGATTTTTTCTTAACGCGTAAACGAGGGACAACTGTATTCGTAACACGCCAATTTTTACACAAATATTCGCTCCGTCATGCTGTATATTTCATCCGTGTGGTTAACTCGGTAGTTATTATTTAGAATAAGTCTTTAAGTTGTTAAATTGATGGCCTTTCTCAGCCATAAAAGCTACTGTTTGTAGATTTATATGCACGTATTTTTTGTTACATCGTTCTCCGGTGATTGTATTAATAGATAATCCGATTCGATATAAAACGACCAAGTTTTAACAATTTATTCTTTTTTAAAAAATTAGTTGTCCCCATGAATAATTTTAACAAAGAATTGTATTCGTTCAAGAATGTACCTTTTTATTTTAACGCTTTATGAATTAAGTGACAATTCAATCAAATAGACATGAAAGCTTCTAATGTAAGATTTTGATATTTAATTTTTTTGCGCTAATACAATGGTATTTCAAAAAAAAAAGTTGAAAAAGTTGAAACTTTCTGAGCAATGGAAAAGGCTACAAAATTGAGATGGGAAAAATATATTACGCAAATGATAAATAAGCCTGTATTATGTAGTTAATATAAGTAAAAGCGGTAGTTTTGTTGATGATACACTCTAAACAATTTTTACAATAATTTTTATATTCTCGATTTACTAAATTTAATAAATTGATTAGGCCATAATTCTTTTCAACTTAATAATTTTTAGTATGGCATGTCAGCCTCTCTTTTATATTTTAATCAACTCAGAAGTGTTTTTTAAAAAAGAAATTTAGTCGTGTGATTAAAAAATCAATACTAATCAATGTCCATTGAAATATTAATATAGACATTCCACAATGTTTAAATGCAGAGCATTTATTGCATTAATGACCAAATTGGCCGAATTACATATGGACATACAAAAAGCAGCAAATTTTTTTGTCTTGCTGCTGTGACCACGTTTTCGTATGACTGTAACAGTTTTTCTATTACACTTGTCCCCTTACAATCACACCATTAGTTCCTGACTGTAAAAAAGTTAGTAATCTCAAATGAGTATGAAATCGATCAACTCCGTAAAAATATAGTAGCAAATTTTTAGTATCACTTCAATATAAATCAGAGTTGTTGATATTATTATACAAAGGATATTGAAAAGAAGAGGCTTGGTTTGCCTGTTCCTATAAAAGCACAAATTAAAAATGTTATGTATGAGATGCATTGTAAAAGAAGATATTAATTAAATCATTGTAACTGGAAAAAATTATATTTTACACACCATAGTTTGGAGAACAGATTTTACGAATAATTAACACATTACTACTGTGGGGAGGGAAATGCGAAGAAATGAGAAATTAACCAAATTACAAACATCCAGAAAATTTACTATCATGCCTGTGATCATGGAGAAATGTTGTTTGGTTTAAAAAAAGTGTTGCTAAAATTTTCATGACGTAAAATAGATATTAAGACAATATTAATATTGCAATTCGGGAACGGATAAATTAAATGATTGGCCCGATCATAATTATACCTGCTACCCTAATAATGACTATCGTGCCACATTAAGAAAAAGTAGCCAATCATACCCAATCAAGTTGAATACAATAACGTTCCAAGATAAAGAATGTGATAGAAGCAAATAGCACCTATTGCGTGGCGTTGGGCTCCTGAAACCTTTGTTATTTGTGGCGCTACGTCCATTATGATATCACCCGGATTAGTTCATTATTGTGGGTAATGCGACATGGTTGGTCCTATCAAAATAACAATAATATTTTGCAATTGTAACAGCATTGTATTGGTGTTCCGATTAGGAGATAGGAGAGTTTGCAGACGATCGATGTTAAACGATAAAGCAAACAAGCCGTTGAGACATCTTGTGCCCTTCCAGCGAATTCGTCTGTAAAATGAGATATTTTATCTCGCTTTTTATAGCCTTTGCCTTCCATTATCAGAATTTCCCGCCGTCCAACAGAATGCTCACGTTTTGTTATCAAACATCTCGTCATTGGTTGAAATCAATCACATTCGCCACTATCAAACGCCAAGAAAAAGACGGGTACATGCCAAGACTTTGTGTGACAATGTTTTGCATTGTGCAACCCTCCACACGTATATGTTGTGTATTCAGTTAACTGTATCTAAATCAAAGTAAACAGTAAAGGCCGATTCTCCCTAAAATAGAGATCTTGTGGAATCTAAAAAAGGCCTTTGATGCTTTTTTCCTCCCTCTACAATTGCATGTTTGTTTTGACTATTAACAGCGTACAAAATAGAAAAGCATAAAAATTATCATTTTCACCTCGTCCCTACTTATTTCAATAAATCACACTCTCTCGACCGAGTCTTACTAATCAAACCAAAACTTCGTCTTTGCTGAAAACACACCCTTTTCGTATGCGCTCCCCTATTCCACTCAATTACATATCTCCGCGATAGTATCGTTCCAATTTGTTGGTTTTCTTGAAGTGAGTTTGCATGGATGTCACGCAGCCAGGGTACTATAAAGAGGTCGTCTTGAACTGATTCGTTTTGTTCGTGGTCGACTAATAGCATATTAGGACATCATGCGTATAATTCCAATTCCAATCTTTGAGCATAATTATTCCTATCTCATTATCGATGATAAGGCGAATGAAGGTGAGCTTGATGGCAGTGATGGCAATAACGATAGGTATAGACAGTAGATTTGCGCAGACTAGAATGCCGTAGCTGCTATAATCTCAACCCTCTTTCTGCTTAATCGTCATGAGATTCTCGTTTCGAACTTTTAGACATCATAGTTCTTTTTAAAACACTTCATATTTTCTCTCGCCCATCATTGATTTGTATAGTAACCACCCATTTTTTTTATCGTTCTCTCACCGTTTAATCTTTCGTATCTGGTATAACCAGCTGCAGCAGTTGATCCAGCGGAACCTCATAAAGTTCTCCAAGTACTTGCTCGCACAGGTGCAAAGTTGACGTCTATTCTCACTACCCACCATCATCAGTATGTGTATTGTTATTAATATTCACGTGATATATTACGTTATTACATATCACAAAATAACACCTATTTTTTCACGCTGATCGTCGATCTTATCGTCTTCGTGTTATTATTAATTTGTTTACAACTACGTGGTATCTGTTGTTGTGGCTGTGCCCTCTGATTCGTGCGTGTTAGTCGACACGCATTTGGTAACATTGAATTGGTATGTACGAAGCCTCATTTAGCTGTCTATGGTGCTGATGCAAGGATACCTGGTAAGAAAGAAAGTACCAGCGATGGCATGCTTCTTAATCACAAAGTAGAAGTGACACGTTGCATTTTGATTTAGAATTGAATTATGTGTGTAAACATAATGAAGAGTTCACTGTAAGTATACTTTTCTCTGTTTTGAAGAATTCACATTTTGTTGGCGAGTTTTCGCCAAGGATTAGTAAAATTCGTTACCAACACTCTCGGCCATCTCCATTGCGTACTATAGGTTGGAACTCTCAAAGTCAGATCATTGCACACCCCATGTCATACTCGAGGTCACGTGTGCTACTACGTTCGAGATGGGACGGAAATGAATCAAGATCGTGATAAGGCCGTGTTTACCGGGGATACTCTGTTAGTTGGTATAGAATGAGAAATACCATTCCAATTCTTCATGTGTAATAAATCTGTACTATATAAGACGGACGACTTATTGTATGATGGCAATGTTGATAACGTTATCATAACTATTTTTTGTATGCAGGTGGATGCGGGAAGTTCGTCGACGGAAAGGCCCAGGATGTGTATCATGTACTATATAATATACTTGGCCGATTGCCAAAGGACACAAGAATATACTGTGGTCACGAATATACTCTAGAAAATTTAGAGGTAATATTAATAACAACAGATAATGAACACGTGATGGTCGATGCCAATATGAGCAGTCGCTAATGTTTACGCAATACCAAGTGTTTCAATTGTGCATACATATCTTATCCTTAGTTGATAGAAATGTGTTTTTCTCATCGTCTTCGATTCCAACATTTTGTAGTTTGCTAGCTCGGTAGATCCCGACAATCCATACTTACTCGTAAGTACAAATGGAAGAAACAATGACGTTTTGAATGGTGATAGCAACGAACTCAAATTTTTTTTATGGTTAACAGAGGAAACTAGAATATGTTAGTCAACATCCGAGCGCTATATCCTCCACAATTGGTGAGGAATTGGAATACAATCCGTTCTTGCGAGTTTCGTAAGTTGCCCCTTTTTCGATCTTATGGCTTGTTATTATTATTGTTACTTTCCATCTTATACTATTGTTGAGGCGTTGTTAATGATGTAACTTTCCTCCATCAACTCGTACATGCTACATACTTACCACAACTCAGAGATCCAGCGATCCAACGTGCCACGAACAAGACTGACCCATTCGATGTTCTCGAAGAACTACGTAATCTTAATGATCACTACTATTCGCACAAATAACTGTTGGACTGATCTGACAATGGATATAATGGGTTACGGAATTGGGTTTAATAATTTTTGGATCTGGTACCTGCGTTAATGAAGAAGTATTCATAAATTACAATATATGCAATACGTCGTGACGTATCCAGAATACGTTATGAATGTATCAAGAATGTTATATATATACAACATGGCAATGATAAAAATTGTAGTTTAATAATTTTAGAAATAAGGAGTTTAACACTAAGTTAGTGCACAAACTATATATAATACGCAATAAGTCATACCTTCATCAAGAAACGGTCTTAATCTTCATGTAACATATTATTATCATCAGCTCCATGAACTTAATAATTACGGCAAGCACATTCTACATATTTTAGTTGCCTTCTGTCAATTGTTGTCTAGTGTCAACCTCTTTATATATGTGTCTTTGACTAAAGTTGTGTATTCCTTGGCAATATGTGTCCAGCCACATCGAAGTATCAAATGTCAAGAACAAGTTATTTATAACGCTTCGTATTCAAAAGAACTGTCTTGTACAACCATGCCGCAGGTTTGTCTGACCTTATGTTCTTCAAAAAATTAATTGGCGCATTTCACACTTACGGTCGTATTAACAAGTCACAGACAAAGAAGGGCATTATCACCTCCATTCTAATGGGCTTTTACCCGACAGAAAAATCAATTCATTTAAAAACGGGTGTAAGAAAGTGACAAGAATATTCCCAATAATATAATTAAGCACGATCAAAGTATAAAGAAGATTATAGTCCGAATATTTCCTTGCATGCTGTTCGATGCCTGGTGATTCAATTAAACGTTGAATACTTTCAGCCTCTTTCATAATTTATGCAATCGCTTTAGTTGAATATGCGACCATAAAGACAATATTGACAAAGCATCTGTATCAATTATCATAAATGTACCTGATTCATGTTACTAGGTTTTTTGTAATTCGCAGTCGACAACCGGGTCCTGTCTTGAATAGGAATTGAATCATAACTATGTACCATCACAGTGACACGATTAGATTGATGAATCACGGGTCAAACATATAAAGCGCCTACGCGTTTTTAGGAATATCTTAAAAACAAGGTACTCGCGTTTACAATTAGTAGCCATAAGTATTATCGACTTCAGTTGAGAAAGAACTGAATTGTTAGCACCACAAGTAGAACATAGAAAATGCTGCTATATTCCAATATGTCTATTTTGTCCCATCCGTTTGAGCCTCATAATCTACTTTATACGATTTCAGTATCTGTTTGCTATTACATCGTTTTTATTTTAATCATTCAATTCTCTAATACTAATACTAATGGGAAACCTAACAGCGTATGAGAACCCTTTCGCTGAATACATGAACCGATAACTACCCTTTATAATACAAGGTTACCAGGAATGCGGATTTCCTCAAACCATATAGATTTGAATATAACGCTTGCATTGTGAGAATCAGCGAGTTGTCATAGCCCCAATGTCAAGATGAGAATGTCAAAGACTACTGAGTATGAAAAGCACGTCTGTGATAAAAGGTAGGTTTTTTTGTACTTGAATGAGAGCTATGGGTATTGAATTAGTGATATAATATATTAATATTTGCAAAGAAAGTGCTTAAAAAACGCTGATACAATGGCTACATGCATCAAGACTGAGTTTTGTAGATGAAGGGCCCAGCTTTAGAGGATCTGTAGGTTTTACTGCCTTTTGCAATTCAGAAACAGTCACTTTATTCTCCCGTTTATGATTTGATGGTACTCTGTTGAGTTTTTTCATATCCGGCTATTCATGATGTTATAATAATAATAGAACATTTTAGCACTATTGCAGGCTTATTAACACAGCTTATACCTGAAACGCGGTTAAGATATCTTCTCGAATATTGTTCTTGTTTCCGCATGTTATGTCGTGCAATCCAACTAAAAGACTATAGTCCATTATATTCAATCGTTCGACCAGCTGCAAGTGCCCATCAAAAATACAGGTGAATGATAGTAATAGCAGCAAAATTGTTAAAAGACAACAAATCAGGGTTCCATTACTTGATAAGGAACATAATGAAGAATATGATGCGGAAAATTTTTTACTGCCATAAAAAGAATGGTTTACATTGACAAATCAGGGAAAAGGCTAAAGCGGAGCGGAACGTGATTTTGTATTTGCAGTTTTATTGGCTGCCATACAAATTTGACCAATGGAATTGCGAGGGATCTGCTCCGCTTTAGACATGC